ACTAAGGAGTGTTCGGCAAGTTTTGCATGGCTTTGTTGTATCCAAATCGTCGTCGCAAGTGGGCGAGATCAAGGATGAGGACGTCCAGATTGTATCGACAGAGCATGAAACCGCACCAGTTCAACCAGTTCAACCTGCGGCGCTCTCACGCGAAGCCTCGGGCGCTCCCAGGCCTTCCTCGGACGTAGGGGTGTCGCCGAGAAATATTCTGGCACAGGTTGTCTCGCGCATTTCAACAAGAAACCTACCGGAGCCGCCGCCGCCTCCGGATGGTGGATTCAAAGCGGTAGGTTTATATATACTTCTTTATCTCGTACAACAGCCACAAAACCGTCCATCCATCTCCAGAATTGGTGAGAAACCCCAGCTGACGATGATGCATTAAGTGGACACAAGTCACCATGTGCTTCTTTGGTGAGTGGAAGGACAACATGGATGGATTTGGCTGTGTTCCATCTTGCTGATCAGATGGGACTCAGTGCTCTTTGCGACATGGGGCTATGCCAATTCGTTTGGCGCTTTTCAGGCATACTACACTGAGAACCTACCCGAGGCTCCGTCCACGATATCGTGGATTGGAGGCGTCCAGCTTCTCCTGTCTCTGGTCATAGGCACCATCTCTGGCAGGTTGTTCGACGCCGGCTTCTTTCTCCCGACCTTCTTGGTCGGAATGGCACTGCAGGTTCTGGGCATCATCCTCATGAGCTTTTCCAAGAAATACTATCAGCTGTTCCTTTCACAGGGCGTTCTTAGCGGCATCGGCGCAGGTCTCTATTTCACACCGGCCGTCTCCGTTGTCAATACGTACTTTGACAAGCGGCGAGCGCTTGCTATCGGGCTAGCCACGACGGGAAACTCGGCGGGCGGTATAGTATACCCTGTTCTTGTCCGAGAGCTTATTCCCAAGTTGGGCTTCCCGGTACGCATTCTATGACCATTCACCTCGAATGACCTTATGCTCGCTAACACCCGGTTACAGTGGGCGACACGAGTTATAGGATTTCTCAACTTTGCTCTACTCACCATCGCAGTCTCCTTTATGCGGGCGCGTCTACCACCCCGGAAATCCAGCGACCTGTTAGACCTCAAGGCCTTCAAAGAGCCTGCGTTTACCATATACTTGACAGGCGCCTTTTTTCTCTTCTGGGCGAACTACTATACCTTTTATTATGTCAGTGGCGCCCCGTAACTGCAGGTGGGTAATGGAACTAACTGCCTTGCTGACCTGACTATGTGGCAGATTGGATCATACGGTACACAGGCGTTAGGCCTGCCTCTCTCCTCGGCTTCCGTCCTCGTCATCATTATCAACGGCGTCGGTCTCCCTTTTCGTGTCGCCGTCCCCATGGTCGCCGATCGAGTGGGTAACGTCAATGTCATCCTGGTAATCTCGGTTATCTGGGTCATTGTCGCTTTCAGCTGGCTCGCGGTGAACAGCATCCCGTCATACTACGCATTTACCGTCGTCTACGGCATAGTGGCCGCGAGTTTCCAGTGCCTCTTCCCCTCCACCGTGGCGAGGATAACGAAGAATCTCGACGCGATAGGGACTCGCCTCGGCATGGCCTTCAGTATCACCGCCCTCGGCTCCCTCACGGGTCCGTCTATAGGGGGCGCCATTCAGACGGCGGGAGGGGGAAGTTTCAAGGGTCCGCAGATATGGGCGGCGGTGTCAAATCTGATTTGTTGTGTGTTCTTCATTGCTTTGAAGCTGCATATCGACGGCCTGAACTGGCCGCTCAAGTGGCAGCGACGCGGACTGCTGTCCAGACAGAGGTCTCCACACGAAGGGGTAAATTCATAGCAGGTACAGAGATACCGAATAGGATAGACGTTTTTAGGATAATACAATTAAACAGCGCTCTCTTTTGGTTAGTCACATGGTCGAGATGAGAGGCTTGAAAAATTACGAAGAGGCCTCGAGCATAGAGCGAGATAGGGGCGCTGCACTCATTACGCCATCAAAAGAGACAAGCAAGGTACAGGAATTCTCATCTTTTAAAGGTTACTCCCCTCGAGACGTCGACCCGGTTAGATCTGCCTATCACAAAAGTCACATCGCCACAGCATGTACTCCCCGCGCAACCAACCACCTGCAGTTAGAAAATCCTGCATGGCGGTGCCGCCACCTCTGCGGGGAAAAGATGAAGATGGGATCTCATGTTTGTTTTACCCTTCAAGTCTCTGTTCGGCTTTAACGAACAACCTTTGGTTAAGTTCGAAGATGTGGCTGCAGATCAGATGCATGTTGTGTGGTCGCATGATCATAAAAGTAATCTTGATCTGGTCTTACGTTTGTGACGCAGTGCACCACCCACTGCAGGCAGGGACTTAATGTAGGAAGGAGCGAGTGAATGAGTGAGGGGGATAGGAGATAGGCGTTTCTTTCCATACTTTGTAAGTAAGCGACCTATCTCTCTTACTCATACGCAGAGGCTAGGTGTTATTCACATGCTTTGTGACGTTTGCTGCAGGTGCGGCCCTTACCCGATGCTGGAAATGCAACGCAAAGCATGTACGTAAAGTGGTATCGGACAGAGGTCATGCAGTGAGACCATGATTAAGCTCGGAAAGTTGGGGAGGGAATGATACATATATATGTATGTCAAGTACCTAATGCACGGGAGGTTCTTGCTTTTGTAGAAATGTTGAATTGAGACGTTCTTAACCCGTTGCTGAGAGGGATTTTAGATATATGTAATACCAGCTTGCTGACTCGCCATTTCGCCGTAGGAACTCAGATTTAAGTTGAAAAGCAGGTTCGCATTGCAGTGAGGATTCGAAAGACCGAGAAAAAAATGGGATTATACAATAAACTTCCAGAAGATGTCAAAGAGGTGGACGTCATCATCGCAGGCGGTATGTTATTGTTCGCACGCAAATACACCACCTTACTCAAATCACACACATCCAAATCCATCATTTGCCTACTTATCTAACATGTAGATCCACAAAATGATGTATAGGGGGCACGGCAGCCTGCATCATCGCAGGCCGACTAGCCGAGGCGGACCCGAACCTCTCGGTCCTCGTCATCGAGGGCGGTATGGACAACTACGGCAACCCGGACATCGTGCAACCGGGCCGGTTCCTGTCCAACATCGCGCAGGGGTCCAAGACCGCCCTGTTCTACAAGGCCAGAAAGTCGGACCACCTCGCGGGCCGGGAGGTCGTCGTGCCCTGCGGTGGCGTTCTCGGCGGCGGATCGTCGATCAACTTCATGATGTACACGCGTGCCCAGCGCGCTGATTTCAATGCGTGGAAGACCCCCGGATGGTCCACCGACGAGTTGTACCCTTTTATCAAGAAGGTATCTGCAACACTTGCTTTGCTTATAGAGAAAATGATGGCAGTGTAGCCAAGCTAACATACCGTTATTCGGGAAAAAATGGATAGCTGGAAACCTACCACGGTCCAAGAAACGATGAATATCACGGCTACAGCGGACCGGTGCACGTCTCGGACGGCACGATGCGTCTGAAGCACGTGGAAGACGACTTCCTCCGCGCCGCCGGAGCCGTCGGTTGGTCCGAGACGGCGGACCTGCAGACGCTCGACCACAACGACGCCGTCGCGCGGTCTAAGCGGTACGTCTCACCGGATGGCAAGCGCTCCGACACGGCCCACATGTATGTGCACCCGCTGTTGCGCGACGGGAAGCACCCCAACCTGCACGTCCTCGTCGAGTCGCAGGTCGTGCGCGTGCTTTTCGACGAGGACAAGCGTGCCGTGGGCGCCGAGTTTCAGCCCAACCCGCGGTTTCAGACTGAGCACGTAAACTCAAACTCTAGACCCCCGAAGTTTAACGTTCGCGCACGGAATCTGGTGGTCGTGTCGTGCGGGGCGTGCGGCACCCCATCTGTTCTCGAGCGCTCGGGAGTCGGACGCAAGGACATACTCGAGAAAGTCGGCGTGCCCGTCGTTGAGGACCTGCCTGGCGTGGGCCACGATTACCAGGACCATCACCTTATGCTCTGGCCGTACAGGAGCGGCCAGCCGCCCAGCGAGACGATGGACGAGCTATTCTCGGGACGGCTCTCCTTCGAGGACGCCGAGAAGAGGAACGACCCCCGGCTGGGCTGGAACACGCTAGACGCCGCCGGGAAGATCCGGCCTACGGAGAAAGACCTGGCGGGGTTCGATGCAGACCAGAGAGCCGCGTGGGACAGAGATTTCAAGGATAATCCCAATAAGCCCCTGATGCTCCTAGCCTTACTGAATGCGTAAGTCTGGTCTCGCTTTCCCGTGTCATTCCTTTCACGATAACTTCAGGCAGGGCTTTGCCGCTAACGAGGCATGTTATGGTCGGAGATGACAGGTTTTTCGGAGACCAGTCCAAAGCCGAGCCGGGCCAGTACATCACGATCGGCACGTACACGGCCTACCCTCACTCGCGCGGCCACCTGCACATCACGGGCCCCGAGGTCGACGACCCGCTGGAGTTCAACGCCGGCTACTTCAGCGACGCCGGGGACGTGGACATCAAGACGCAGATGTGGGCGTACAAGCGCGGCCGCGAGATCATGCGGCGCATGTCGGTCTACCGGGGCGAGCTGGAGATCGGGCACCCGCCCTTCGCGTCGACTTCGCGAGCCGCGTGCGTGAAGCTCTCTGACGGTCTCGTCTCGTCATCAGATGACGTCACTTCCGTAGAGGACCTCGAGTACACGGCCGAAGACGACGAGGTCCTGGCGCGGTTCCTGAGGGAGAACATCAACACGACGTGGCACTCTGTCGGCACGACCAAGATGGCTCCGCGTGAGCAGATGGGCGTGGTGGATAAGGATCTGAACGTCTACGGCGTCAGGGGTCTCAAGGTCGCCGATGCTAGCATCGTGCCTGTGAACGTGGCCGCGAACACCAATAATACTGCGCTTGTCATCGGGGAGAAGGCGGCGGACATTATCATGCGGGAATTGGGGCTGGTGTCCTGATGAGGGTCCAAGGGATGTTTAGACTCTGAAGTAAGCAAAAAGAGAAAGAGAAAAAAGCAAAAATGATGCGGTGAGTGCGGATCGAACGCACGACCTTCAGATATTCCAAGAATGAAGTGTTACTTCAGTCTGACGCTCTCCCAACTGAGCTATCCCCGCTGTGATTGATGGATTGCTGGGTCGCTAAACGGAGATTGGTGTGCAGAACAGAGATGGAGGTGAGTTTGTGGACGGTTTGTGTGCCGAAAACCTCCACAATAAGTTGATCCGGGCCCCACAGGGGTCGAAAAATGGGACCTATGTGGGCTAGACTGGCTTATGTAAGGCAGTATAGCAGTACAAAGTGACAGCAGTTAGACTTGATTTGTCCCCCTTTTCGTGACATCTGGAGAATTCGGCCCCTACCACCCTAAGACTTCTGCCAGCCTGGCAGAGTGTGAGCTCAACTGGCTTACCACTCCCCCCGGCTTCACGCCACAGACATGTATCCCTCTCCCCTACGTACAACCGTACAACAGGATGGAGTAGCAGCTGTAACTTGTGGCCGAATCGGGGGTCATGGAGCGGGCGGAGTAATGAATGCAGTTACTACCGTTCAACGCCCACAACAACAGATCTGTTGCGACGAGGCCACGGGCCCGACCATACATGCCAGACCGGGCAAGGAATGCACCACTATGAGGACGGACAAACCGTCAGGTGCGATTAGGAGTCCTTTCTGAAAGGCTCTAGTCGGGCATCCCTTTAACTCCTAAAGGTACCATTGTGCTCGCTGGCTTTTGATGATGTGACTTAAGCTTGGCGTACGATCTTCTCTTCGTATCGGGTTGCGACTACAACGTGGGGGTAGTAGAATTATGTAGCAGTATTGAATAACCTGTGTTTACCCAGAACATAGCCACAAGCTGTACAACGCGGGCTTTGACAGATGTTGAAGGGCGCATGATTGGACGCGTTTGCGGGGGATTTGACACGCTCATATGGGTTTCAGTGTCGCTCTTCTCTACTTCACCGTCTGTTCTTGCCCTTCCAATAATCGTGCCGCGTGATGTATGAGACATAGAAGGGACGAGGCCGCCTCTAATTGCGATCCAACTGCAGTTGGCTTCTCGCGGCTAACTCCATTGCCCTTCTCTGCCCACGGAACTTGACGCAATGGGTACTCTATTTACTCTGCTCCCTTTACCTGGGCGTATACTTACTGACATGATCGCCGGAAAAGCGAATTGTACCCTTGACTATACGTATCACAACAATGGTGTCACCGTCAATATTACTCGTCAAGCGGATATCGATGCGGCGATCACCGAGTATCCAGGTTGCTGGGATCAGTTAAACATCTACGAGGCAGAGGGATCTCTCGATTTCAAGAACGTTTCCCAGGTCCCGAAGATAGACGTCTCCATGAGCCCCAACCTAACGAGTTTGGCATTCCCTGAACTGCAACAGATGATATGGTTCGAGGTTCGTCATGCTGAGAAGCTATTTAACATTTCTATGCCACGCCTGGGCCAACTTGTTCTGAATTTTACCATTACCGATACGCCCACGCTCCAACAGATTCACAGCGGCATCGACGTTGTCATTGTCACTCTTATCTTGCGCAACCTAGGACCTCCAACATTATCAACGTCTTATCATGGCATGACGGGCGTCGCAGACCTAGTGATAGATACGCCTAAGCTCTATTTCCCAGATGTTGGACTTTTGGGAAACCTAACATACTATCAGCGCTCTGACTTCGCAGCACTTCACCTCCCCGGTCAATTCCAGTCCGTGAGATCTTTAGCGTATTTGAAGATACTTGGGGATACCCAACCCAGCCAAAGCACCATACCTACCATCGCCCCCCAGTTCCCCGAGTACTATATCAACGGCTCTTTGACGCTGCAAAACTTACACTACAGTGACCAGCCGGAAATTTCCTCGCAAGATTCCACTTCGCCCAATTCCTCCTTTGGCGGTAGCGGGGGAGCATGGGGGTGGACTAGTCCAGACCTGACGTCTGTGACGCACATAAAGGAGAAAGCCAGTATCGCCTCGAATAGCTTCACTAGAGTACACCTGAGCAGCCTTCAGTCCGTTGGGGGTGATGTCGACATCGTCAACAATACAAGTTGCTCTTTTTCGTTAGATCAGCTGTCAAACGCAGGAAGCATAAGAATGATTGACAACCCAGGGAGCAGTATACCCTCGCTTCGTCGTCTCGAACAAGCAGACAGTATCCACATTCGTGGCTATATCAATACGTACGTCAGGAACACCACTTACCTTCTCTTTTATGACATGGTCAGGCATACTCCGGTTGAGTGACTAACACGAAACCTTGAAGAACATCGGGACCGAACATATTCCCGTCACTGAAGTTCGTCCCCGGCTCCGTCATCATCGAGCCCTGGAACGACGACTTCAGCTGCTCCAAACTAGTCGCTCAATTCCACGATAACATCATCGCTAGCTTGAGCTGCAATGGGACAGACAACGCAACATCGACGGCAACAACGACCTCTCCCACTTCCTCATCCAATGGCCCGCCCTCAGCCCGCCTATCCGAGGGGCAATGGGCCGGCATTGGAATAGGCGCAGGCATCTTAGTCCTCGGCGCCATCATTGCCATCACCTGGCTGGTATCCCGTCGCCGGCGAGGATCCGGCAATGCTACCGATGTCCCCACGCAAGCCAAGGAGGAAGAAGAAGAGGTGAAGCCCCCAGCAGGTCTGGACCAGCTCCACGAAGCCGGGATCCCCCGAGCCGGGAATTGGCATCGACAGGGGCGATTTACGAAATGCAGGTGCCGCACACAAACATGGAGATGCCAGACGATCACCTGAAGGAGCTTCTCGTTCCCGTTTCGAGCGCATGGGAGCTAGCTCCGCCTTCACCCGCGCCCGTTCCGAACACATCGGAATCAGCGACGCGTTCGTCTTCACCGGACCCTAAGGTTAGCGCGTCTGAACCATTGAAGCGTTCTTCAGCACCGGTTCCCAGCGCATCGGAACCAGCGACGCTTTCGGCCATGCCTGAGAGGAGGAAGACAGTGAAGTGAAGACCATGGGGTTGACACAGGGAGTTGAATTGGAAGTCAGTACACGAGGAGTTGGTGTCCTGGATAGTTTTCCATCAGAGTTTTGGCCCAGCCGCCCAGGGCCCTGGTATCGGAATCAATGTTTTTTCTGTGAAGCTTTTCTTGCTTACGGATGTAGGTACTTCATTTCGAGTACATCTCACTAGGTTAGTAAGCTGTCGGACATTTCCAGAATTCTTATGGGAGAATAATTAAGATGCAGTAAGAGGACGAGATTCCAACCGTCTCGTCTGAGAAGATCCGGGATGACGGACAAGGAAATTCGTAGAGGTAATGAGCGGGGCTACCCTATAAAGCCAAGCCGCTTGATCTCCGGATATTAGTTGGTTGGATAATAGTGCCAACTAAACAACTGGCTTGCATGAACAAGCGGGGATAGCTCAGTTGGGAGAGCGTCAGACTGAAGTCATACTTCATTCTCAAGTTTATCTGAAGGTCGTGCGTTCGATCCGCACTCACCGCATCATTTTAGCTTTTTTCCAGACTTGGATTGTGGGATAAGGGGGTTGATTACTTTTTTGGTCTTGGTCTTTTTGCTGGTGAGGAAGGATGTGAACTTGCCGTTGGTTGCAGATATTTCTGTCGAGGGCCGGCGCTGGCATCGGTGGGCGGTGAGAGTGGTTTATGTTAGTTAGGTGGTTGCTTCATTCCCCTGAACTGCCTAGCTTGGACGGAAACTTTTGAAGCACCTCAAAGACGGGATATCGTCAGTGCTCTCTCTGCCTAAGCAGCATCATATATGTGTGCGACTCGTCAACCAAGTAAGTACCTATTGCTATTTGAGATAAGTCCCCTGACTTCTCGGTGTTTGAGATTAATTGTCTGTGAGCAGCACAGCTCAGGAGTTGACTATCTAGATAGCATCAGTGTCACTCGCTATCTACAACTCAGCCTGTTGCAGCAACGCCCCAAAACTACACATGGAGCATTTGTGACACGGGAGAAATCGGGACACTTTGATTGGCTGTGACCTGCACAGGGAAGAAGTGGTCATATCCAGTCCAGTTCCTCGCAAAAGACTCAGGTTGCTGTATTACCCCCAACGCATCATCCAGTCGGTAATATCATGTTTTTCCTGTCGAACCGCCCAAATATAGATAGCACTTGATCACTTCCTAAGGGCTGTTTTCAAAAGGGAAGCAGGCCACTGTCATGAAGAGGAAGCTGCTTTGCTCTTCTTGTGGTATGTAAGGTGGACGGACGGCCGGCCAGAAACTTGTCATGTTTCATGAAAAAGCAGTTCTCCAACATCCTTCCACTCCCTCCCCTTTAAATTATGACATGCGATCAAGGCAAGAAGTATCCAGTGTCAGCTGTTTAACTGATTGACCGCGTGTCTTGACCACCAAACAGGTGTTTGATGGAGCGAGGTGGGTTAGCTTTGACTATGGCTGTCATATACAGGATGGCCGTATGTTGTGCCTCATTTCAGGGGAGCGTCAAAGTCGAGGGTAGGAGTAACAAGTAGGTAACATCTTGTCAAGCCACTTTTTGCTCCCAACGCATCACAGACAACCTTGCTGAGAGGAACCCACGCCTGCCTTGTGCCAGTCGGCAACAACCAACCCAACCAAACGCGTCCTTTCTGGTGGGTTTTTCCTTCGTGTAGCCGGCAAATTAAGAAGAGCACAGACACGAGAAGTGCAAAAAAAGAAAGTTGCGGTGAGTGCGGATCGAACGCACGACCTTCAGATAATCCTGAGAAGAATGAATGAAGTTGAAGCTTCAGTCTGACGCTCTCCCAACTGAGCTATCCCCGCTACTTGGTGTTGTTGATAAAAATGCAGCTGACTATTGGTAGTGAAGTTGTATTGAGCTGGGCGGGAGTAGTTTGCTGGTTGTGATTTTGTGTACGAAAGTTTGCACAGTGCGTCTTGTTGACTCGCTAGCGTGAAGTGCCCTAATAGTTTGGCCCTAATTTGCCGATGGTGTGGTTGATGGCACCGTGGGAGGAGGGGAGGTGTTGCTGTGGAGGTTATCTTGCAGGATGGGAAACAACGTCTTGTCAGGTATTGATGTAGACTTCGAGGTTCAGCAATAGGGCGAGGTTGTAGCATCGAGGAGGCTGGAATTATGGTATCTGAGGTCAATGTGGCTCAGCCATTCTTACCGATTAAGTGCAGTAGTAGCAGGTTTGCTGGTACTGCACAACTGCGAACTTGAAGCTGGCGTCTGACCTAGGTTAACAACCAATATCGATCTTAGCGAGAGATATCTGGCAAGATGCAGGATCACAGGCAAGTAGGTATCGGTATCGATGTTTGGCGGCAGCACGTGACAAAAATACTACAGTTCTCACACGCAGAGTCTACAGCCACCCAGTCGGGTATGTTATTGACGATCCTTCCGTGATGATTATTAGTGTACCTACTACCTGTAGTACTCGAGAAGGATCTAACCTAACGAACGCCTAGAACTCCATTTCAGACCGGCATCATGTATCTAATCCTCAGAAAGGGATCAGAGATGCAAACAAAGGAAAAAACACAAATGGTATCTCCCTTTTCTCTCCATGAGCCGTGCCTTGCCCGTGATTCCAAACTCCTCTCCAGACGCCAAACGTGCCAAGACCAGACCAGAGACCAAGTCCTTGTTTACCAACCATCATGAACCATTTCATTCGTGAAGTTCGTGGTACCGATCGAGAGGCGGATGCTGTGCCGTAGAATCGTCTCGAAGGTCTAACAGACGCAAAGGGAAATTGTCGTAGTCTTCGTGATAGTCGCGAATCAAACGTGACAAAGGAATTAAGGCGGTTGATCATGTTGCAAGAATGAGAAAGGCAAAGACGTGTGAAGTTCGTAACTGGAAAGACTGAATGGAATCTTCAAATGTCTTGAGATAGAGAATCCATCAGTTCCAAATGCCAGTTGTTGGTCTCCTTGAATGAAGTCGATCAAGGACAAACGGTCGATTTCGAGAAGAGAGGACAACCTCTGCAAGAACAGACTCTAGAGGATGTTGATGTCGTAGTTCAATCGATCTCGAAAGGAATGCGGGAGACTTGATAGTACTGGTCGGAATGGAGAGACAAAACGGGGAGGAGACGAGGCCATTGTAGAAGGAGAGAAAACCAGATCACAAAGACTACATCTCTGAAGTCTGATGTCCAGTCGATCAACTTGAGAAAGTCGATTCCATTATCTTGGGGACGGTCGCAGAACAGACGAAGAGTGACGAGTTATGGTATTTCCAGAGTAAAAACAAGAAGACGAAGTTCGATCGAGTCTTTCATGCCTTCAAGTCGAGAACTGGTGCCAATTCCTTTTGCTGATGAATCAGAGAACTCGTTGCGATGATAAACTCCATCTTCGAAATCGATCTCGACTTTCGACATTCGGATCATTCGATTGACCGTCTCGGACTTTGGCAACTGGTGGTAGACTTGTTAGCAATGTTGAAGTGGAAGATAAAAGAGTAAGAAAGTGTAGGAAGTAACAGGAACAGCAGACTTACAATTAGGCGAGACCTTGATGAGAAAAGAACCTTAAGAAAGAACAAAGAAAGACAAAAGAAAACAATTTGAAACTCCTTGAATAAAATCGTGGTCGGCTTTGTCAAATAAAACCTTTGGAGACCCGAAGGAGTATGCTGCCGAGAGGATCTCTTAATGCGCAAAATCCTTGACATCGACGTTGTTCTCGACAAGGGCCTCAATGTGATCAAGAGTGTTAGGTTCGTGTCGGCGGTGCATTCGGTTGGCAGCACGTTTCAATAGCTCTCGCTCTTGATCTTCCTCCAAACTTAGGTTGCCCCTGGAATGCACGCATCACGTCAGAGGAGGGCAAATGAGTGGTAGCGTTCATAGGGGCTCTGATCGGAGGTATGGGGTGGTCCATACCTCATATATGGCCGGGGACTGTCTGGAACATAAACAGTTGGGAGGAGGATCGTGAGATCCTCCTCCCGTTCCTCCTGTTGCTGGGCCGGCTGAGTGGGTGAAACAGGGGCCACTGGGCTCGCGGGCAACGGGGTCCATGGTTCGACCGGCATGGCATCGTGACCCGCCTCCATCTCGGTGATGGCGCCAAGAGATTCGGAGCCGTGTGCCGACGAGCGAGACAGGTAGACCCGTTCGGGAAGAGCAGGACTGTTAGGTCGGACCCCCTGGTCAGGGGCCGACTGGGACGAATGGGCCGACTGGGGCGAATGGCTCACCGGGGGCATATTTACAAGTTCGATCTCCTCGAGCGGCTCTGGTCGATTATTAAGGACGTGGATCGCACGTTCCTGCTCAGCATTTAATCGGCGGGGGCGCTCGGCGGCCTTGTCCTTCATGAGGCGGATAAAACGACACACGAGAGATAAGAAAATTACACCAGCGACGACTTCCAGAAGAATGGTGCCGCCCAGTGCAATGGCTGCAGCCTTGTTGCTGGCAGCGTTAAAGCGGGTGCTGTTGGTATGGTTCGTATTGGTCGCGTCATGTGCGAGGGACAGGTTGGCGAAATATCGAGAACCACGAGGCGAAAAGAAAGGGGGGGCCTTGGCCAGGGGACGATCGGCGGAGGGCTTGGTGGTGGCCAGATCACCTCCTGTGCCGGGAGAAGGAGGGGGGCTTCCCGGAACCAAAGCAGAGAGAGCGGCCACCATGAGATCGTTAACAAGACTGATTTTGGCCTGAGGATCAGTAGAAAGCACAGGATTGATCTTCCCCTCATCGTAGAGGGTGCGAAGAAGATCATTAGCGTGCTGGGTATTGGCCACCGGCAACGGGATGGCAGCGATCAAGGCGGCGAAAAGCCACACGAGGATGGTGTTGATGATCATCATCTTGACTGTTGACAATCGAGTTGTTTGACAGTTGCAAATTATATCAACAAGAAACTGAAGAGTGAAGGCTGAGGTGATGAAATATGCCAAAGGCGACGAGGTAGTGAATGCGTTTGCAGATGAATGTCGATGAAAGAGGAGAGATGGTGCAGTGACGATGGTTGGGAAGAGAGATACCAAAGGGAGGGATTCAGGATACAGTTGGTGAGGTTACGAGAAATGTGCGTGTTCAAAATTATATGGAATTCACAGAGTTCTATCCTCCATACTCCCTCTGAAATAGCTAGTGTACATGGGCGCCTGTAGAGACACCATTGTGACTGATAACCCCGCTGTCACTGGCTTCCAATGGGCTTATCGGACGCGTGAATGTAGAGGCGATAAGTGATGCTATTCTACTCACATCCGAATAACCGTTATTCGGAAATCTGGAGGTTGCTCACTGAAAGGACAGGTGGCCCCCTGACGCGTGTGTTTCGCGTTGCCGGGCAACAACGCGACTTCAGTTCTTGAAGACAGCGAGGTTGGCGCGTGGCAGTCTCCTTTCATTGTAAAATGCAGGCTACTGTTTCAGCATGGTAGATATGATCTCCAGCAATTTCCTATGACAGAGTGGTTGCAGAGGGCTCCCGGACCACAAGGATGACACTGGTGCAATAAAAGGCCAAAAACTGAAATACCACTCCAGGCCACGTATATGCTGACTTCACCAGGAGAACAATTGCAGTGTGTTCCAGAAAAGGCTTCCGACATTTACTCCAAGCCAACAAGCACCAGAACGAGCTCAAAGAGTGTAACCCCTGAGGCCTTCATTCCAAGCACAAGAGAAGAAAGACTATCAACCTCAGGGAAATCATATTTCAGGGGCTACCAAATACACACAAAGCGCCAGATAGAGCCAGTTCTACACGACAATGACTTTGCGAATCAATTAGCGACCGGCTCCATTGGCAGGCAGAGATGCCAAGCGCTTGATACAGCCAACGACAGGACAGAAAAGGGCACTCGAGTTTCGAACTTCACATAAGGAGACAATAAGGGACTGCAAGAAGATCCACAGGAGGCCCTCAAACTGTGTAAGCCATACCCACGTCTTAATAACAAGCAACACTGAAGATAACACCAAGTAACATTGTCGCATAGTGTCACTGTTATACTACAACTACATCACCATGCCAGCCAAGTCACAAGGCCCTTATTACCAACCGAAAGAATGGCTTTCTTTTGAGCCACAGAATACAACAAACGATTTGAAAGAGAGTGGCGTTACTCTGAGTCTAGGAGAGGGAACAGCAGTACACAATTGGCACCAAGCAAGGGAAAACAGATGCACACCTTTTACCGAGCTGATGAAATTCGAATCCGGTCTGACAGAATCCCTTCCAGAATGTTGTCCGACCGTAAATCGATTATCGTCCCGCGTGGGCTTATATACTAAACGACTCCTTTCCAACAAAAGCCTTACGATCGAAACCTCCCAAAAAGGGGCAAATCGCCGAGCGCTTTGATAGTAAACATGGTCGGCGCCCCCTTTTTTAAGTCATCAAAGAGAATAGGGGTCCGAAGTTAAAACAAACCTGTCGCCAACTCGCCGCACAAAACCAACGAGATAGGAGAAGGGACTCGACTCGGCTCCATGACATTAGGTCCGACACTGTCTTAGGGTTGACTGCCGATAGCCCATGAATAATACGAATTCAGGAGCGACAAGGAAACGAAGACTTTTTCTCGTCACTGCAACCTTCCGGTTTCTACAACCCAAAGGCCCTCAAGCAAAAGGAATTGCAAGCCATAGCAGCGCAAGGGAGCAGAGATTAATTGAGAAGAAGATGCGATGATACGCTGACACAATATCTTTGGGCAGTTCGATACGGATCACACAATCATGACAACCTGCGCAAAGTTGTGATTTTCCCTTTCCTCAAATCTCCTTGCAAGCTGTCGCGACAAGTTCTGCACGCAAGCGAGCACCTACATGTACCTATAT